GCTCCTCTGATGCTGATGACCTGGCTCCTCTGATGCTGATGACCTGGTATGTTCCTTCAGGTCCACACTGTATCAACTCTGACTTCTAGCATCTGCAGTCCAACAGATTTAAGAGCATCTTCTTTGCCGCCGTTATGAGACATATTAACAGGCCTCTCAGATATTAGAGTTGATCTTTCTCTGCAGCTGTAACCCTATGTTTTGCATTTTGTTCTATTACCCTGACGTACTTATGTAAGATATGATTTGTTTGGTTTGCATGCAAAGCAATATTTTTTTCACTTTATCTCGGAACATGTGACAATAATAAGTCATATCAAATCGAAAACTGATGAAGGGTCTAGGCCGGAAATGTCAGCCTTCCTGCTCCTCTGATGCTGCTTGGCCTGCTGTGTTCATCCAGCTCTACACCTTGTTATCTCTAATCAAAAACTACTGTTGGTTGATTCATTCCCCAACAGTTGTGGGAGGACAGGAGCCCAACCATGTGTCTCGGTCGCTGCAGTGTAATTGGATAGAATTGACTGCCAATCACGTCTTGCGAACGTCAGGTCGTGCGGACCCCGTGGTCAGGGCTTTGTTAACTGATTGGTTATTGGTAAGACGTCAAACATGGGCATCTGCAGCGGGGCGGTGTTGTTAGTCACGTGGTGATGATACTTCTGCTTGATTGGACAAGTGGGGGGCGTCAATCATGTGCACGACCGTCGGGGCGGGACCGCGTGGCGCCCCCATGGTTAGGCGGGGCTTTTGATTGGGCAGGTGTATGTCAATCATTGGGTGCGGGGTGCTGGCGGCCATGTTGTTTGTTGTCGGTGAGCGGGTTGTTTAGCCTGGCAGAGCCTGTGTGCGAGTTGAGTGGGGTGGGTGGGAAAATGTGGGCTGTGTCGCTCGGTCACTTGTTACTGGGCGGCCAGCTGGTATTGCTGGCAGCTGCTGTGCTGCTGCAGTGCCTGGCAGCCGGCTCGTTGTCTCAGAATGCGGCGGCCAACGGCTCGCAGCCGCGGCAGCTGCAGTCACCGGCCCGGGTCCGCGGGGAGCTAGGCCCGGGAACCTACCCGGAAGACATGGAGCTGCTCGAGTACCGAGACCCGCTCTCCCCACTGGTGCTCTGCAGCTTCCTGTAAGTCCCTCGCACTTTCCCATGTTTCTAACCCACTCACAGTCCACAATGTCACAGCAAGTTGCGGCGCAGTGAAACCCTCACGAAAGTTCTGGTGTCCTCATCTCCCTCATGGGCCTGTACCACTCTTTTTTTCACCTTAAATAAAACCCCGTACTCCTTTCCTTATGGTTATGAGTTCTACATTCTAACAATTGATTCACGGGAAAGCTCTATCTTCCTGAGCTTCCCTGTTAGATTTGGAAAGGGGACTGGGTGATACATAAAAGGCAGTGTTCACTCTCAAGACTTGATTGATAGTCTACATCTTCAATTGCCAGTCTGTATGCAGTGCAAAAAAATTGTGGGTGCAGACACGGTTATAGCTCGTAACATTATCCCTGGATCTTCCCTCTGAAATCTTTTATTCCTGGCCTCAAATGTGCAAATGTTCTTTTTCTTATGACGTGATGAAGAACACTAATCTATTCGGTCGTTTTTGATAGCCGTAGCCTCTCATCTTTGGCATTTTCTCTGCTGTTTGTTTTTGGACTGTTGCCCTTTCCACCTGCTATGAAAAGGAAAGCTATACGATCCTCTAGTGGTGCTACTGAGGTTGATCACACCGTTGATGGGCCATTTTCGCCTTCATCTGTGCTGCAAATATGTGAATGTGTTTTTAACCTAACTGATCCTTTTGTTCCTCCAAACAAAAAAAGTGAAATATTTCATCCTTTTGTTTGGCTTTGCTACTTTTCATTATTGTGTATGTCTCTGAAGTATCTTATGGCACTAATGAAGTGTTGAGGACAGAATCTTCCAATCCTCTTCCCCACCATGAACCTCAACACAAAAAATCAGCCCAAACTATCTAACACACAAGCTTTGAGCCCTGTTTTTGCGCTTTCTTACTGAGCACGAGTTCTGATTATCTTTTTCCGTGACGTGAACCCAGTAGTATCTCATCACTCTTTCCAATCAACTGTGAACAAGGTCTTTCTCTATTTTGTGTGGCCAGCACCACCACCAAAGAAAAACCTCAGGTATGGGTGACCACAAAATAGCTGAGGCTGCTGAAGCCCATTCAGGTATGAGGACAGAGTTTTTTCTTCCTGGAAATGCTATTAGCTTGACCCCAGAATCTCTGTTTGAAAGATGAACTGTACCTTTTATGAGTCATTTAGTGCTAGTTTGGAGCATTGTAGAAACTTCAAGGAAACAAAAAAATGGCGTCAACATTTATGACCTCAACATTTCAGTTGTAGACCCTTTATGAGAATTGGAGTAATACTGTACTTAATTTGAACTACAACTATTTCTTTGATTTGTATAATGATAGCTTTTTGCAATTTTATATTTGGTCATGTGTGTTTTTGGCAGGCCAGATGAATTTGTTCAATGTGATGACCCAGTGGACCTTTTTGGAAATGTGACTGCGTACCAAGAGCAAGGATATGGTTGTGTAAAAGTAAGAAAAGTTTTAATTTTGTCTCCACCTGTTAATTAAATCTTATTATAAGTTGTTGTGCTGTTGTTCGAACCTCGCTGGAGGAGTGCATTTTTGCTCTAATCCTACTTTTCCATGATCACAACAAAAATTCTAACATATTTTACCAAAGTCCCCAGATGGCAAATGATATGCTTTCTCTAAACTTGACATTGAATGAAAAAGTCCATTAACCAGATTTCTTTAATAAACATTTATTTGTTATAAAATGATACTTATTCTATAAAGATGTAGAACTGGTTAACAAACAGTTTGTAACATGGCAATATAAATGCTCACCCCTCTTGTTATGCTGGACACAGGTGCATAAATATACATGACGTAAAGCAAGAAAAAGATTGAATTTTCTCAGATTAAAAAATACATTTGACCAATCAACTTTAGTTTTGAATGCAAAAAGGATTAGGTTTGAGGTGTCAGATAGCTGTCGCTGAGGATCTATAATTCGTGAATTATAGCAGAACTCTTGGAGATCTTTTTCATGCATGGACCCAAAACAAGGGTTCTTTTCCAGAAATGGATCTAAATTGAGAGGCACCTCCTGAGTGACTCTGACCAATCTGGAACCTGACAGTCGTCAAACACAGGCAGAGGGTCTCCAGTAAATGAGCAGTTGTCACAAGATTTCTGACAACAAACAAGATGCCTTGTTGAGAAAGATGTTCAATGCCCTTTCACGTGCCACTTCAAACAAAACAATTCATGTATGCACAATCTTTCAAACTCGAATCCACAAATGTTTTTTAAATATGCCTTCATAACACAAATCAGTAAAATTGTCTCAACTTCCATTTTCCAAAAACACTGTACTTGAAATGTTGACATCTCTGTTCTTGAAAGGAACCAACTTATTCCCTTCTATGTGTTTCTAGCATTTTCTGTTTTTAAATAATTATTCAGAACTCTTTGTGTAATATATTTACCTTTGCAGCAATTGAGTTGTTGCAGTTGCCCTCGGAACCATTGGGCTTCTGAAAGGAATTAGAAATCAGATATTCAGCTCCTGTTAGATTTGTCAATGACTTAGTAATCTTGAAAGTAGGCAGTCCATCTGTTGCTGCACTTTGAGCCTTCCACTTGAATCCATGTAACTGAAAGCTATCTTACATATTCGCACACAGTTTTGATTACATCTGTGTTCCCATTGTATGACCATAAAGCTGCACTTCATTCACTGTGGATAAGGCTGTGTAAAAGTTGGAACATTTAAAGTAGATTTTTGAGTAAAAGTGCAGTCAAGGCCAAGCAACAGATTTAATTTTTCCTGCTCATAACGTTCGAAATTCCTAATAAAAACCAAAAGAACTGTGGATGCTTAAATCAGGAACAAAAACAGAAATTGCTGGAAGAGCTCAGCAGGTCTGGCAGCATCTGTGAAGAGAAAATCAGAATTAACGTTTTTGGGTCCGGTCTGAGGAAGGGTCACCAGACCCGAAACGTTAACTCTGATTTTCTCTTCACAGATGCTGCTAGACCTGCTGAGTTTTTCCAGCAACTTCTGTTTTTGTTCGAAATTCCTATGTAGCATGGAACCCTTCATTGCGTTTATGATGCTAAATGGATTGTACCGATCTAATTACACTGATTTTTTCGGATTTACTGCTTGCTGGGCATGGGGGTCCTGACATGAAATGGTGAATTAACTCAGTATTTTGGTCAACAGTTTGGTGGGCAGGCTTACAACGAAGTGGAACACACACCAGTGCGTTGTACTGCTTTAAAGGATATTGAATGTGCCGGGCCACGCACTTTCCTCAGGGGAAATGTGCCGTGTATCAAGTAAGAATTGATTTTATTGTTTGGTGCATGTTGATTAATATTGCATACATCCACCATGAAACCAAAAAGGAGGTGGAATTGACAAATTACCTGTAAGTAGTTTTTTTGAATGTGACAACCAACTGAGAGTGATTCTTTTGTGACCAAAGTAATTTGAACATATATGAGTAATATGGCGTATATTTTTTTAAAGTTACATTTTGTGAAGTCGTTATGTTAATTTCAAGAACAAACAGAAGTTGCCCTTGTAATTCAAGCCAGTTAAACTGTGAACATATCTTTGCATTTCACACTTGAATTTAGATTATTTGTTTTATGTAATAACATTCAAAATGGAATAGAATATATTTATACAAAGTGAAAAATTGCAAGGTGAAGGTACAGAGCTTAATGGTTTCAATTTTCAAGAAGCTGTTACAGGCATGAACCACTGGCCACCTGTGTTTTATGCTTCTCAATGCAAAAAAGATTACTTATGGCTTGATTAATAAATTTATTAACATGCAAGATTTGCATGTATGCATATTGTATTTCTTTGTACTGCCTGAGAGTCATGTGCACACAAATTCAATCAACGCTATCAGAAAAAAATTGGATAATTATTTGAAGACTTAAAAAAAAGATACAGGGCTGTGGGGAAAAGACAGGTGAGTGGCACTATGATTTGCTCTTGCCAAGAGCCAATACATAGGTGACAAGCCAATTGATCAGTTTGTGTGCTGTAAGCATTCAGTGATGCTCTAAAAATCTGAACAGCACTGAAGAAATCTGAAGAAGTAAATATAGTGTGATATATAAAATCTCTAATACATTCAGGGAATGGCACTGGGAACCATGTGGCTTTGTGAGGCTTTCACTCAAGGAGGATGACTTTTGCTAGGGTGGACTTAGAGTGGAATTCCAATGTTTTCCTTAAAAGCCATACCCATGCCTCCTGACTTCTCACATCTGCATTTGTTATTTGCATTATTTTAAGGAATGAAAACTGATTCTAAATTAGTACCTTTTGCGCCATTCATGGATCACTCGCACTTCCTCCTTTCCTTAGCGTCATACCTACTCTTCTGGAGACTAGAGTCGAACCCAGGGACCATCATCCTATCTTTTGATCACTTTACAGCCTTCTGAACCAAACTTCAAGCTGAATAATTCCTTTTCATAATCATTGCTCTGTATAGTTTGGATGGCAGTTGGGGTGATTTTGCTCTGCCCAATTACCACCTCTAACTGTACCTGTTGTTAAGGTTTCGGAGTAGATCTGTAGCTCGGGTTGTGGGTGTTGAGGTTGGTTGGCTTGCCAAGCTTGTTTGTTGTTTTGCAATACTCACCAATACTCACTCATCTCAATCCACATGGACAAGGAGAACCATGACTTCGACTGGGACAACGCCAAGACCCTGGAACAGGCTCGGCAGAGACAAGCACGACAATTCCTGGAAACGTGGCACTTCACGAAGCATGCAATTAACAAACACATTGAACTTGACCCCATATACATTCCACTACGAAGAAAAACCGGAAGTGAGGCAATCCATCTCAACGGACCCCAGAGTTGAAAAACCAGGTGGGAAAACACACCGACGCTTCATCGAAGGCTGCACTGAGGATGTTACCAAGCATGGTAACAAAACATCTGCAAAACAACAAACCAGCTCGGCGAGCCAGCCAACCTGTACCTGTTGTTTCTTGTTGCAATACCATATCGATGGCCTTAAAACATACACTTTCACCGTGTCACAGACCTTTCCTTTTGTTGCCCCCCACCCCCCCAACCACCAATGCCTCCTCTATCCCTAAGTCCTTGATTAACACCACTCATGTTTTCCACTGCTGATGAAAGAATATCTGCCTATCTGTCTCTGTTTCCACATTTTCTGTTTTTGTTGCAACATGGTGTACTTTTGCAAAACAATCCTAACAATTTAGTCCAATGACTTGTTCTTAACATGTTCTGTTTCTTCACTAAGCCCTCTACATGTGTATTTTGCAGGTACACAGGACACTATTTTGTAACAACCCTGCTATATTCCTTTTTCCTGGGGTGCTTCGGTGTGGATAGATTTTGCCTGGCCCACACTGGCACTGCAGTGGGGAAACTGCTGACTCTTGGAGGTCTCGGGATCTGGTGGTTTGTGGATCTAATACTACTGATCACAGGAGGCCTGATGCCCAGTGATGGCAGTAACTGGTGCACTTATTACTGAGGATGCACTTCAACTGGAATCTATGAAGTTTGTTTTTGGATTTGATGGTGGAGAAGGACAAAGCACATCGGAGTCTGTTTGTGCCTTTGCCTGGAGTAATACAATTTGTGTAGATGGATATCAAATCCTTGTACATAAGACATTTGCCTGGATTTTTCATCCCTCTCATGTTTGATCTATATCCCTATGGGGATATATAAGATTATAATGTCTCAGATTGGAGTAGTTTGTGTATCATTTTTACCAAGTTTGTAAATATACATGTTGCAGTCATGATTTTCTGAACTTCGCTCTGATTTTCTTTTTAATTTGCGCTTTATGAAATGCATCAAGCAAAGCATAGGGTAACATACAAAATAGAAATTGTGTACTTCTGTAACACTTAAACCTGATTGAATTTTTGAATTGATGAATGTCTGTTGTTTCACAGTACTTGGAACAAGCAATGCGTGTGCAATCTGTTATTTAACAGGTGTTTTAATAGTTGTGGAATTAAATACCCGCACCATAGAAAATCTTTTGGAAAGTTCAAAGCTGGATGGAAGTCACGCTAAGCACTTGGATAAAATTACGATATTGTCAGATAATTGTAAATAGCATTGTGTGCTGTTTAAGATAGGAAGCCACCTCAAGGCAGAATGTCTCAGCATTTTGCCGGTGGAAATACAGCCAATAAACAACTATTTTATCTTTGAATATTGCAAGTCAGACCTGTGAGCTGTGATTTCAACAGGATAAAGCCAGAAAGAGAAGACTGCATTGTTAATTCATGGTAATTGGCTCACACATTTCGGACTAATTATCAACTGAACAAGAATAGTGACAGCCATGTTTCCTCAACACACTTTTTAATTAAATAGTATCCCATTGTGGGATACTAGTTCCGCTGGTACTTGGCATCATGTAAAATTGGCATTTCACGTGGGGGTTAATTTTGTAAAATAGTCATGAAGTCAGAAGAGAATATCCCCTTCAAGACTTGGTTGTTGCTGATCTTCTAAAGATTTCACTGCTGAAGCTTTGATTGATTTAATGTAGTACGCAGAAACTTCTCAGTATAACATTCTATATTTAGTTGAGGGGTGGATCCACATGGATACTCAGCACTGCAGCATCAGGACAATATTTGTGCGTTCTCCCCTTCCCCTAAAATTGACTTAAGTCATTGAATTTTCTGGTCTCCATTTGAGTGGGTGACAGATGGCCTCTAATTTATCAAAGTTGCCACTGTCCAATACCAGATATACTTCGGCGTGCAATTGCTTGTCATTAAGTGCCCCTGTCTTTCAGGATGGTTTACTGAAAGGCGAAAACTGAAATTCTGACTGTACGTAACATGCTCATTCTCTAGTTAAATGGTGAGTTTCTCCTTTGACTTCATGGGTAGGAATGCCTGCATATTTATGAAAAAGTGCTGATTGGGCAGCTGCTCCACTTCTCATAAGTATTCTGTTATCTTCTGTTTCATACGTCTGGAAGAGAGACATTGAAAGGAATTCAGCTGATGATACTGTCTCTCTAACATTTCATGAACTTTTTCAAAGACTTTGCACATTTTACCATCACTGAAGCGCTGTAAATGGCATGTTGTGGGAATTGTTCATCCGTTCTCTCTGTCACAGAATGTCTTCAAGCAGCATTCTTCAGTTGGTCATTGCTTAGTCAATGTCATAAAGCCGTACAGCACAGAAATAGACCCTCCGGTCCAACGCGTCAGTGCCAACCTGACATGCCAATCTGACCTAGTCCCAATTGCCAGCATTTGGCCCAATCTCTCCAACCCTTCATATAAGTGTACACCTCCATGTGCCTTTTAAATTTTGTAATTGTTCTGGCCTCCTCCACTTCCTCTTGCAGCTCATTCCATACCCACACCACCCTTTTTAAATCTTTAGTCTCACCTTAAACCTGTGCCCTCTAGTTTTGGATTCCCATCTCCATCCTAGGAAAAAGACCTTGCCTGTTTACCCTATTCGTGCCCCTCATGATTTTATAAACATCTGCAAACCTCTTATCACTCTCAGTATCTGATGCTTCAGGGAAAAAAAGCCCCAGCATATTCAGCCTCTCCCGAGAACTCAAACCCACCAGTCCCAGCAACATCCTTGTCAATGTTTTCTGCACCCTCTCAAGTTTAACAACATCCTTCCAACAGAAGGGTGACCAGAAATGTACACAGTATTCCAAAAGTTGTCTCACCAACGTCCTGTACAGCTGCAACATGACATCCCAACTCCCATTCGCAGTGTTCTGATCTATAAAGGCAAATGTGCCAAATGCCTTATTCACCATCCTGTCTGCCTGCAACTCCTCTGAAGGAATGATGCAACTGCACCCCAAAGTATCTTTGTTTGGCAACATTCCCCAGGGCCTTGGAATTTCTTGCCAAACCACTATGCGGACTGCAGTGTCACAGACCGAACGGCTGCCAGCATCCTCTCCAAAGACAAGGTAAAGCCAGCAGTCATCCTTCCAATAATTTCTTGGCTATCAAAAAAATTCAAATGCCTTTTTATTAGATAACAGGTGAGTCAGATTTTGACCTCGATCATCAAATGCGTCATTGACGTTGAAAATCGCTCAAAATTTCTTGGAATTACAACAGGTGTGTGTGCTCATTGCCTGAGATCCACTTTCCCTTGAATGCATTTTCTTGGGGTAACATTAAATGATGTCATTATCATGAGTCTGTAGATGCATTTTCCATGAAAATCATCAAAAAGCAGAGCATATTGCTTGATAGAAAGTGAACTGTAGAAGTCAGAACTGTTTTGAAGATCAGACAGGAAACAATAAATAGAGGGAAAGATAGATAGGTGTGATTTTAACAATCTTGACATGGTTTTCAAAGAAATGTGTGCTTTTCAAAAATTTAATGGGGCAGCTGGCATGGTGACTTGCTCACAGTTCGGCTTCCTTTCCCTAATAGCACTTGGCCAGTTACAATCATGAACTGTTGCCACCAGTGTGGTACATCTGGACTGAGTAAGAGCAGCAGATTTCCCTCCCAAAAGATCAACAATTAGCATGATGGCGTTTTGCGTCAATCTAATAGTTTCACCTTTACTGTTAGTAATTTTTTTCTGGATTTATGTAATTATTTGAATTCAGACGTCCCCAGTCTCTGTCTGATTTGAACTCATGACTCTGCACCAGGATTCTTTCCATGCTAAAGGTGCCCCGCAATAACATATACCCGGTTCTCTTGCAAATATTGAGTAAAGCAAGCATTGCCAAGATTTTGGATTGATTTGAAGGGAAATACAGCTTCAGTTAAACCTCCTTTAATCAGAAGTATGAATGTATTAGTCTTGAACTTGTAAAGACCACGCAGAAATCAGATTCTTTTGGTGAGTGTACAAGTTATGCTGGTAAAACCTGTAATTCAGTTTTTAATTTGCAATCAGAAGAATACTAAGTAAAAATAAACCATTTGGACATACATATTGAAGCTGAGATCATGACAATATTGCTTCTCTCTTGCCAATCTAAATATGGTCTTGCGTCTGGCATGCCCAACACATTGGGAAAAAAAGAAGCCTCACATTAAATATTTTCATTCAAAATTCCAAAAATATAAGTCTTGACTGCATGACAATCTTCTAATTTGATAAATGCTCTAAAATTTGGTTTAATCTCATTTAAGCTTCTGTCACACAAAAATTAATATTGACCCATCATGATCATTCTGCTTTCAGACTGAGAAGAGGAGTATCTGATTGACGAATATGTATTCAACCCATGAGAATTAAGATATTGTGTGATTTTTTTAAAAATTACAGCACACTTTTGCAAGGTCTTTTTGCTGTTTTCAACTGTGGATTCAAAGATACTGGTGCTATCTATTGGACCTTTTCCTCCAGTTCAAGATTGGGAAGCTCTAAACTCCTGCCTACTGAAGGCATTCCACAACCTGGCCAACATGTTAAAATTTTAATTAAATTCCCACTTTCTATCTTTATATCTACTTACTTCATTCATTGTAAAATTATTGTAAATGAGCTTTAGAAAGCTGTGTATAAATCCAAATTATTTTCATCTTATTAGATCCCAGTTCAAGCTTCCAATCTCATATCCTTTTCAATGCAAAGAAATGTTCATCAGCGTCCACAACACTGCCTGTTTGCTGACTGTATTTGCCTATGCAGCCGGGAAAATTCTGATCCTGGGTCACTCCCCATCTTCTCCATTCCATAAATCTAAGTACACCCAATCCTCTGTGTTGCAACACAGCCGTTTTCAATCTTTTGGATCTTTGGTGCCACTGACAATTTTCTTCAAAAACCCTAGGCCCACCATGATACCAGGAGTGTTTTTTACATTTAAATGCATTTTTGTGTTACATTAACCATTAATGGACATTAAAAATTTAATGATTTTGCTGAGAGTAAGTTTTGTTGCTCAATTATAAAACACAAGATAATTTAGTGAAAAACGTTTGTTGGATTTCATTGGCAAGCATGTCAATTGTTAGGGTACCACCTGGACTACCTTCACAACGCACTGTTTGACAAACATTCTACTAAAAAATGTTCACTTTGTCTATTATCTGTGTGGTTGCTGACCGACAATAGCTCCCAACCCATCAATGCCTTTATTGTGAAATTTGCATTCTCCTCTTAAACCTCCTTTCCTGCCTAAAGCTGGTACTTTGAAGAGCTGTGTGCTGTCTAAATGCAGTAGTATTGTGTTGTCTCAACTCCAATATGTTTCACAATAAACTGAGTTAAATTATGCTGTCCAAGAAAGCCTAAGTTATTCACCAACAGACAATTACACAAAATCAAGTCTCACATTTCTAATTACGGTTTTTGGGTCTTATTAACAAGAATGCAAGTATTTGTATCAGTTTTCACAATATACACAGTTCAATGAGCTACTTTCTTTAATTGACTGCTTTAAATAATCACCAGAGGGCACCACATTAACACCAAAAAGAGCCTTAGAAAAATACAGAGGGAAAGAAAAATGACAAATTCACTGCATGAATTGAAAAACAAATACATATTTCGTAACAGACATCTTCAGCATGGAGTTATTCAATTTTTTGACAACATTGCGTTGAAGTTTGGAAAAATAGTAATGTTGACCAATGAAGCCACAATCTTCGAATCTTTCACTTTTTGCTTTGACTTGGAATGTAAGAGGTTTGGTGTTGCAGGTGAATTAGTTAAGGACATTGGTCTGTATCCATGGGAATCCCTTGTTAGTAATTTTAAAGTAATGGCTTGACTTGTTGACAAGAACTGTAAATTTGACTGCAACCTCAGAACACAAAAAGTTTTCGTCTAACACTTTAATTCTGCTTGAGAAGTAGCTGCAGTCAGAGGGCCTTTCTTTCAGATGAAACATTGTTTCCCTGAAGATCAGCTCACTCTCTTTGAAAACATGTTCAGGAAATTCTCCCAGTGCCCTCTGTATCATTGGTGGCTTCAACACGACTGCTGTAAGAGATGATACGTTAAAGGGAGAAGTGCCAAACAGCTGACATCCCTGATTTAGCTCTGCTTTTCAATAGGTTGAGATAGAGAAATTAGTTAACAGCGAAGCCATACATCAGTAGGAGGAACTTTTGAAAAAAGTTCCTGCTGCAGAATGAATATTCCATCCAGAAAGAAGAGACCACCTTTTGGGGGAACTGCAAACTGAAATACCAGGAGATCTTTAAACTTAAATCAAGTGCTGTATATTTTTGA